CATTAGTATTTGTCTGTTAATATAAAATAACTAAGATGACTATACTTAATTTGTGGGCATAAAAATCATTATTTTACTCAGAGGTAATAGTTTTTCTTTTATTCATTTAAAAATTCCACTTTCTAACAATGGGAATAAAAATCTTCGTAAACTATAGTAAGTATATAAATCACCCAGGACATCGGCAAAATCTTCTTCTGTAGCCACTTTTGAGGTGATCCTGAAAGAAAAGTAAATCATCAATTTGGTTTCTTTGTTTAAAATATATTCAAATACAACTTATCTTCAAAGTAATTTCACCCCCAATATGAGCATGGCAGAAAATTTAATTTCTTCATTTATTCATCAAGCAAATATTTGTTAATTGCCTATTATAATACCTTAAAGAAGACTTTTTCTCTATCAAATGAAAGATAATTTGCCTTATATCTACTGTTTCCAAACCTCTGCTTGTACTAGGTTCCTCATACTGGGATTTATTCCATCTTCTTCCTCCTCTCCTTCACATCCCCCCACACCTCTTCCATCAACAGCTTCCTAACTATCTGGGCTTCCAGTAATTTAAGTTCGTTGACTAACAATATCTACTTATTTCCTTTCCCTGTAGGTAGATCCCTCTAAAATAACAGTAAAGGACTAAAATGGCCTAAAACAACAATGAAAGAAAGAATGGAAGAGAGGACCATCTACGGACAAAAAAGTTAACTTTTCAGAAGATGGAAAGCATAAGTGATGAAACAGAATGAAAGCAGTAGTAGCCTAAAGTAAGCTCAGAGGACACTGTCCTTGATAAGGAATGAAGTCGATCTGTCCAGAAGAAAGCCATAACTATGCAGAAATAGGAAACTCGAGATCTGAAGGAAGAAAAGAGTAAGAAAAGGAATAAAAACAGAGCAATTAAAGAAAACCTATATACAGAACAGTAGACCTCCACTTCTCTATTCCCATAAACACAGAGCTCAAAAACAGTATCTATTGTCTCAGTCTTAAATGTCACCAGCAAAGGGCCTGCCGAGTTGCTCAGTTGGTTAAGAGCTTTCTCAAGAGCGCGAGCTCTGAGCAACAGCGGTTCGATTCCCAACAGGTGGCAGGATGGCTCAGGTAAAAAGAAAAAAAAAAGTTAAATGTCACCAGCATGTATGGATTACCAGACATTTAAAAGCCTCTAAAGCAAAAGAGGAAAATCAAGGTATAAATTTTAAAAACAAAAAAAATAGAAGAGGAAAGCAATAGCAAGGATGAGAAGGGAGAAAACCTCAAAAACAAGAAAACTCTAATCAGTACCTTCAACAGAAATTTGAGATAATGCTGGACTCAAAACTAAAGTGGCATATTATAAACACTAATCAGAGCGCAAGAAAACCTCTTAATAATTAAAAACATGACTGCCTAAAATAAAAAATACAACTACTTATGAAAAAAATATTTGGGCAGGAAAGGAGAAAACAAAACAAAGGCAAAGAGGAAATGTCAAAATGGAGAAAGAATAAAACAAAGAAGATCCAAAAATTATGAGGTCCAACTTCTGGCCAATAGTTATTCTCAACAGAACAAAGAAAATAGAGACCTACTCTAAGAAAATATGCAACCAAATTTCCCAAATCTGTAGGACATGAATAGCCAGCATAATGAATTTAAGATCCATACCTAGGAAGTTAAGGGTGCAATTTCAGATAAATTGAGAATAGATCCTAGAGTGTTTCCAGAAAGAGAAAATAGGTAACCCCAATAAAAAAGCAGCCCTAATCAATGGGAACGACTTGAAAAATAAAATATACAGACAGGCTATCCTGGAGGTTGAGAGCTCCTCGAGATACTGCGAGTCCTATATTTTAATTGTAAAATCTATAAAGTGAAACTTTCTAGTTACAAATTGGGTAGTAATAGGATGAAGTGCATGCTTTTAAAAATGAAAATATTATCACCAATATCAAATATTTATTAAGCCTCACTGCCACTTGGCCCAATGGGATATAAATGACCCCACCCCATGTGGACACTCTTTACCCTACTCCTGCTCTGACATCCTGAACTGGCACTCAGACTCCTACACACTGCTATGGGCCCTGCAGTTTCCTATCTATTGGGACTCCTACCTTACTTGGCTCCACCTAATGGCCTTTGAATTGAATTATTCAGGAAAATGAAGACTTCTATCAGATTTTAAGAAACTTGAGAGCAGAGACTTTGTCTTAAACTAGTTTATATTCTTCCCAGAGCCTTGCCTAGTACATTGTATATCACACGAACCTAATTTAACATCTTTTTGACATGCCAAATAAATAAGACCACAAACTTATGAGATAAAAATGTCTTTCTTTAAAAGTGAGAGAGTTTCACAGAGCCTGTTATCCTCAGGAAGTACCTAAGAAGCAAAGGATGAAACATATTTTATAGGTAGCAAACTAAGGAACAAAGACTTCTAATAATCATTTATTACAGTCATTTGATGAAAAGTAACTCAAGCACTCTGGTCTCTGTCCAGGACTCAGCATTTCAAAACTGAAGTAAACCCTTGAGAATGTTAGTTAACGACCTTCTAAGGCTTAATTTGAGGCCACTGTTCTCCTTATTTCACACAATAAATTGAAAGATCCATCAAATTTGCACACATTTTTGAACGTTCAGTAACACCTGTTAAGTAGTCTCGACTCCTCTTTTAAATAGAAAAATTTAAGGATTAGATAGTTCATGCATTAGAATATTAATTGAGCACCTACTACAGGGTCAAGTGCTATTTTAGGCACACTAGAAAACAAGTGGTGAACAAGACATGGTCTCTTAACTCTAAATTAAAATTTAGAATATAAAAAATTTTAACTTTCAAAACAAATGCACACTCAAAAACTCCCAATTTCAAAACATTATTCAATTTCAATTTTAGTTTCTTCCATTCACTGTGAGATCATGTCTCTAAAAGCAAAAAGCATACAGTTCTGCAGTTTCTAAACCCCAGCACTACTAACATGTCCTGAATGACTCTGTTGTGAGGACCCCATTCAATGCATTTCAGGATCCACTAGGTGCCCTTAGCACCCCTTCACCCACCCCCTCTCAGGACAACCTGAAATTTTTCTAGATATCATCAAGTTCTCCTAGGGGGCAAAACCACTCCCACTAAAGTACAGGAATGACAGGATAATCTCTCCTCTCTCCCCTTGTCTTTTAAATGTATTATGATGCAAAGTCAATTAGAACTAAGACTCAAAGCAGCTCTAAGGTTATGACAGGCACTTGAAAAATGAACTGTGGTCAAGAGAATGAGCAGACAAGGCAGACTGAGATAAAATATTTGCAAAAGACACATCGGATAAGGATTGTTATCCAAAATATACAAAGAACTCTTAAAACTCAACAATAAGAAAACAACCCAATTAAAAAATAAATGGGCCAAAGACCTTAATAGACTCCTCACCTAAGATACACAGACCGCAAACAAGCATATGAAAAGATTCTCTACATAATATGTCATGAGGGAAATGCAAATTAAAACAATGTGATACCACTACACATCTTTTAGAATGTGATAATGTGTCAGTTCTTCCACTGTAATAAATGTATCACTCTGGTGGAGATGTTGATAATGGAGGTGGCTATACATGTGTGGGGGCCGGGGGTATATGGGAAATCTCTCTATACCTTCCTCTCAATTTTGCTGTAAATCTAAAACTGCTCTAAAAAAAAAATCAAGTATTTTTATTTAATGAACTGTGGGCATTTGGTCAATTTTATTCCTTCTCTTTCCCCAATACAGTATTCCTTTATTATATATAACATAAACAATGCATGTGCTCACATTAAAAAGTACACATTATACCACCCTTGTATACATCTCTTTATGCATACAGATATAACTTTATATCAATGGGAGTACATCAATGCTGAAGATTTTCTTTAAAAAGGAAATAAAGTAGAAGATACAAGTTTAGGATGGGGATGACATGGGTTGTGTATTATTTCGTAACCATAAGAGATGTCTGAAATACACAACAAGAGTGAATACCGAGGAAGTTCAGAAACATGTAAACAAAAAATGCGTTCCCTGCCCCGTCGTCATTCACAGTTTGCACCCTTTAATAGTTGCCCTTCAGAAAACGTTACCAATAACAGATGCTCCACAAATAACCTGCTTCTCTAGAACTGCGTGTCTGACGCAAAGGCACACTTATATGGCATTTCAATACTATTATGGACAGAAAATTATTTGGAAGACTAGGAATTGGATTGAGGCTAGAAAGTAGAAATCACAAGACTCCCTGAAGAGAGAGATGCCATCACGACCAAAATTACAAGAAACCTTGAGAAAACAGTAGAAGTAAATAAACTCTGGCTATCGGCACACAGTCACTCCTGATCTCAAAAAATTCGCACGGCTTTCACACTGAAACCCCCAAGAAGTCAGAGCACCGGCCCAAAGCTTCCTCCTCCCCCTGCGTCGGGCCCCAGCGCCCGGGGCGGCCGGACTCCCGCCCGCCAGAAGGGGCCGGGCCCGCACCTACCAGGCCTGACGCAGCCATGTTCCGGCCCGGCTCGCCTGCGCAGGGAGTCGTGGTGGCAGCCCACACTGGCCGCGGCTCGAGGAAACCCAGCAATGACAGTCACGAGAGGGGCAGCTACGCGGCGAACCAGGAGCACCCGTGAAGTGGGAGGCGGCAGGGGCAAAAAAAACTTGGAACCAACCAGCGCGCACTCGCAACGCTCCTCGCGTATTGCCTTGGACTTAAGCACACCAAAGCCTGGCGGCCTCCACAGTTTCAAACAGTCTGCACATGCGCAAAGCAGGCCGCGCCGCCCAATAGGAAGAAAGCCGTTACAAGTCTCCCAGTTCCGCCCTTCGCAGCTCCGCCCCACTTCCTTCCCGCAGCCCGGCTCCCTCCTTTGGTACCCTTTTCCTCTCTTTCTCCCAGAGCTTGGTACTGCCTCCTCCGCACGCGAAGGCTTGGTGTAAAGCTGGGCTTTTACTGGGCAAGCACGGTCTTAGGAACCGTTTTTTTCCCCTTTGAGCGCAGTGCAAAACTTTTCAACGATTCTATTACAGAGTAAAAACTATTTTTTATTTTTTATTGAATACGTGGGTAATATTTTCGTGATGCATTGCCAACAAAATGACTTATGTAAATATATATCATTTAAGCATGATGTCCTGAAAGGAGTACTAGAAAGGAGTCTTGAAACCTGCTTAGCTGACTAGCTATGTCAACTGTTTAGGACAAATTGTGTCACCGTTCTGGGTGTTTCCTTAATTATATAATGGAAAAGCTAAATTAGATGCTCTGAACTCTCTGGCCATTTTTTTGATTCTACCAAACTGTGTCCTAATTTTATGATATAAAAATTTGCAAGGGAATTTTAATTTAAAAGAAAACAATTATTGAATCATTAAGGGTTGAGCTAAGGCCTTTTTTTTTTTTTTTTTTGGTGGGGAAGAGGGATTATAAGTTAACTTTGAAATCAGAGAAGCCTAAATTCCACTACACTTCACTAATTCTGCCATAATGAGCAAGTTAATTAAACTTACTCAATTTCCTTGTCTGTAAATGGGACTATTAAAATTGTTGAGATATTGGATTAATTCCTTTTAAGATCTAGCTGAAATGTCTGGAACATAGTTAAGAATTCAATAAGTAATGCAATTGGTGCTATCATGGTGATTTTTTTTTAACTTGGTCTAGCAGACATTTTGCCAATCAGACTTCATTATATAATTTGGTGTTGTCACATTTGGAATAGATAATACAAACTACCATTTAGTGAGTGTGTACTATTTGCCAAGTTCTAGTCTAAATGCTCTACATGCAGTAACTTATTTAATTCTTAAAAGATTTCTCTGAGAGAAGATGACTAATATTCCTATTTTATATATAACAGAACTGGGACAGATTTTAAGTAACTTGCCCAAGATCATTCTACTATTAAACGACAGAATTGGGGATGAACCCTGGTATTCTGACTCCAGAACTGAGCATTTAATCATTACACTTTTTACCTCTCAGTGGGAAATTTTAGCAAGCTCAATCACAAATGTAAAGTTCCACATGTACTATTATATCCCTCTGCTTCCACTGGAAACAGTAATTCTCAGGTATTTTGAGAAAGTTGAAACGCAATGACATGCTGGTATAAAGTGCAGGGCACAAAGGTGTTGGGGATGTTCTCTAGAGAAAATGGAGCAGCACCCTTATGAAAACAGAAAGTTATGGAGACTCCATAGTTCCCTAACAATCTTTTCAGTTCCCTCTGCATCTGTCCTAGTATTTACTAGCTCCACCATGGTTTTAGCATCCCCAAATAAGGCAGCTAGATGATGAAGTAATGTTTCTTAAATCCAGATTTATCATTATAGACCGCCTCCCCCTCAAAATACATCA